ATACTTTTCACTTGTCACTCTTTAAATTTCTGTTTTGCTTAAGCAAAGGACTGAACTCTCTGTGTTTTATATAAAAGAACTGCTTTGATCCTGATGGCTAAAAAAGTATTTATTAATAGAAGTCATAGTATCTCTATTTCTATACTACCTTAATGTGGAGATGGTTCCTCAAACAGAAGTAGTTTTATGAGCAGCAGAACTCATCTCTAAATTCCTCTTTCTGGATGTGAGAGGCTGCAAGTTCTGATCTAGTTGTAACAGCAGCCGAGACATTCATTATATGTGGATTCTATGTGATGTAGTATCACAGATGAGTTCACTCAGTATAGACATGAATGTCTCTACTACCTGGCTAGATGTTTTCTCCATAGGTAAGCACTGACACATCTATCCTTCTATCAAATTTACCATTTAAAAAAAATGGGGGAAATCACTCTAAGAATTGTGGAGGAAAAAGAAAAAGAAACCTTAAATGAAAACAGAAGAACAGAATTTTAGGACCAGAGAAACATGCACAGGAATGTATCTGATTACATGGAAAAGATTTGCATGGAATAAACCTATAACTATAAATTAAAATATCCTTTTTCTAGTCTTCCAGGGTATAAATGGTGTAGTGTACTACAGACGTTCTGGACATTAGCTGTTTTAGAATCAAACACTTCAAAGAAGTTCCAGTTTCTCTAGAGAACTGTGTAAGCAGCTTGTGCTAATAACAGAGAGCCAGTTGACAACACAATCACTTGTTCTATGGAAACAGAGGAATTAAAGGATTAAGAAAACATAAAATATGCCTAAATATTGTAATATCATCATTTTAATTCAAAATGTACAACTCAAGACTCAGGTGTTAGGGATGACAATACTATGTCTACAGAAGACATTATCAAACTCATGAAAAAAACCTGTTGCAGAGATATTTGTTCACTAACTTTTTTCACTTCTAATATTCCTAACAGGCCTAGTCAGCCCCACACATGTGTTTCTTGTTATGTCCATTTGCTTTTCAGTTGGTTTCCCACACATCAAGCCAGACTACAAGCCTCGGGAGGGAGTTAGCTACTCCTCCAAGCTGCTATGAGTCACTGTAATGTCTGCTGCGTAGGCCAAATTAAGCCTGAATTTCTTGCTTCCACTAGGCAACAAGAACAATGAGGAAAAACATGGCAAGGAGGTGAGAAAAGATCAAACAGCCAGGAATCCTCTCCTTCAATATCCCTACCTTCCTGTCATAGTTGCCATAGCACATAGTGATGAAGGAAGTAAATCAAAGACTTGGTGCAGAATTGCAGCAAATTTTCAGTGTTGCTTTCAATACTCATTTATCATGACAAACTAAAAAAATCTATGCTACCTTATAAATTAAGCACATATTCCTCTACCCTGCTAGAATTACAAGGACTTGTGTCCACAGATTTATCCCTGGATGTGATCACACATGTGACAGATGTATTTTGTTTAAACCTAAAATAAAGCTGTGCTAAATGAATACTTACCTAAAAATTCATCCTGTTATTACTGCTTACACACAGATTTTTTAAATTTTTTATTTTTTTTTTTTTTGTAGGCAAAACTCTTAATCACAGAAAATAAAGCACTAACATAAACTGTTGACTGAAAGTTAAAACAAGTCACTTTATCATTTTTTGTGTTAAAGATTTTTGTGTTAAAGTCTGTTCAGGAACATCAGTGGAGGAAGACTTGAATCACAAGCATCTCTGCCACACAATTTTTGAACTCCATTCTGAAATCAAAAATTTTTCATTTGATCATAGCTGTCAGGACAAGACACTGTTGTAAGAAGTAGGGATTCAGGCTGAGACTGGTTGATGCTAGTCAGTTTTAATGGTGATCATTAATCTGCTTTATACCATATTTTTAAGAAGACCACTTTGTGGACAAGAAGTTCCCAAGGTATTGGTGGCTGAGGGGAAAGTTCAGAATGGAAAGAGCATGAAGAGAAATGCCAGTATATATGTGCACTTTGAAGATACCAATCACTGTCAGAGAGAAGATAGAGACTTTAGAAATAATGCTGTACTGCCACTTTATATTAATTCAAAACAAAACACAAACCCTGCCCCAGCAATAAAACCAACACTGAATACAAACTCTAGTTCTTTAATTATATTAGTACTACTCATGAACAGCACCTCCCTTTACTTGCAGGAGATGGCATACTTTCATTCCTGTGCATAGTGGTTTAAAACAGTCAGTCTGGTACTCAGAAAAGCAGCTGTAATTGATCCATCATGTGCAGCTTATAATTGCTGGCAGTGTCCTTGCTGCCACAACTGCTTTCTGGGCACCCATCAACAGCTGAAAGAAACACAAACCTGTGGATCGCTGAGGTACACCTGTAACTCTGCTGCACCCTTAATACATGCTGTGAATACAGTCTTTGCCTATTTCTTTTAAAAACACCTCTTCTGTCTCATCCTAGCTGAATCACCAGCACTTTGTTTTCATTCTGATCCCTCTCTCTGCCAGACACTGGAGTGACTAATGAACTGCAGAATCTGATCTGTATAAAAAGTTTGACTTAGCAAACTAACCATCAGCATTTTGATGACACTGCCACCCAAAATATCACAGTAACAAAAGACTAACAATTTACATGGGCTCTAATCCAGTCTGTCCTTGCTATTCAAATTTCAGGAAAGCATGACCTAATTTCTCTACGAGTAGTAGAATCTGGAGCTTTTGTTAATGCAGTTTCCATTCCTTTCTTTATTTCAGCATATGTTTTGCCACAGATGATTACAGTCATTAAAAGAAAAATTATTTCCTTGGATAAAATTAAATACTGTAAGCATATAGCCTATAATAAGAATCTAAGAGTAACAGAGAGTCTGTAACACTCCATGTCAACAGCTGAATATCTGTCCTGGTCATCTAGTGATGGATTCCCACACCTCAAACTGATCAGATGCACTGTAAATTCATTTCTGTCTATATTAGAACCATGTTACTCCCGTCAAAATCAAATGTTCTGAATCTTCCAGCAAATTTTACAATTCTAGTTATCATGCCCACTTCTGAAAAAAGGAAGACTTAGGCAGAGAAAACTGAGGAAAGAGAGAGAAATATAAAGCTACTCTCCAAAGATCCACTACTCCTATTTATTCTTTCTCGTATACAAATCCAAACAGATATCTACTGAAATTGGAAAGAACCATGTAGTATTACCCTTTACAATTTCTCCCAGCAAGAAGTATAAAAACTTGGGTGTAAATTCCACTTAACCTTTTCTAAATGGTGGTTTCTAAAATCCCCAGGTACATGAAGAACACAAGGTCTATTGACTTTCACCTCAATATTTCAGACAATTACAGAGTTTATGACTAATTTCTGAGTAACAAGGACTTCCTGTTTTATATTTAAGGATACAAATTTGGAACATAGCTGTGGTGGCTAGAGTAATAACTTTTTTCCTCTTGTAAATCTATTATGTAAATATTTATATAAATAACAAAAAAAAAAAGAATTATTTTTCTGTGTTATGCTTAACATATAACCAGTTAGCATTGTGGTTCAGACATATTGTCTCATGCATTTCTGTGGGACAATATACATGGCTAGCTATAAAAGTGACCTGAGTAGGTATGAGTATTCCTTTATTAACAGAAAAATTTTGATGATGGTATTCATTACTTTTATTCTGGACACTATCTGAAGAAAATCTGCATTCAGATTAGAGTTTGCTGCATTCTAAGGCAATGGAAAAGGCAGTCAGGTTTCCATTTGTTCATTATTCTGTCATCCACTTGAACAGAATCCCATTAGAAATGGGTAACCTAATTTATCAAAAACCCCCACTTCCTTCCTCATGAATTTGTACAGGCAACCATTTAGATTTCAACACAGACTTAGACATTTACATTTAAAATTCAGTTGCCTAACAAGTAGCAGTAAACAACACAACCAAAACATGTTTCAGGTAAGAAAACACTGTGACTTACCACCGCCTGTGTTTTAAACAAGATTAAAAATACCAGAAACTAATTTCTGCAAATGTTTCACCACTTTGTTTTACCTGCTTCTGTGTACTTTAATCCTACTTTTACTTCTTCATGCTGTGCTTTTGGTGGTGGCCAGACAGTCTGGAGTCTCCCTGGAGTCTTGTCATCTTGCTCTGAGGGACTCAGGTCAGGCTGTTAAAATTACGCAAGAAAAAAATTAAAGTCTGCAGTGTCAATTGATTCCAAAACAGCAACTGCCATGCTCAGTTCTACGTGTGTGCTCCAGAATGGTTATCTACCTTGTTCTACAGATTGAAACAGTGCTCAGTTGATTGGTTGGGATACAAAGAAATCAGTGTAGAAAAATAATTTTGATGAAAATAACATAATGCATGTGAAGATCAATGATTTCTTGAAACTGTTCACATCAGTGTGGAAAGCTGCCTATCCTTTAGTGGACCATAGAGGTGGTCAAGAACACCAGGGTTTTTTTTTCCTGCATCTTTTTTTCAGATTTAAAAAAAAACAAACAACCCACATCTGTGTTCCTCTTGCAAGTAAAAAATGAGTGCGATTCACCTAAGACATCATTTGGCAATATAATTTTCTCGAAGCAGAGCTAGTTTATTAAATTCCTGCCCCACCCCCGGCAGCTTGCTCTGTCCACATACCACATAATATTGCCACATCAAAGTGCTGCTGCAGCTGTTAATGGGACTGCACTATCAACTGGAACGCTAAAATAAATCTTTAAATGTGGCGAAAAAAAACCCAAACAAACCAAAACAAACCAACAAATACTAAACAACCACTCTTTCAGAGGTTTACACTTTGTGTTTGGGGTTTTTTTTTACATCTCAAATATTTCTGTAATCTGATTTAGAACATGGAACTACAAGTAATTGCATAGAGACAATCACGTCAATAGCAAAACTCTATATGAAATTGGCCTCATAAATGGCCCACATGAGCAAGGAAACAAGGAAAAGCAAGATCCTTTTATTCTGGCTTTCCCCAAGAAAATGTACATTTGTACTAGACCGGGCATTAAGCAGACATCTATAAAAGCTACTCCTGCTGACTCCTGTGCTTCCTCCCTCACAGTGTGTTATGACAGCTTCCCAGATAGGTTTGCTGTGAGCCACACAAACACAGGGAATGGTGGAAGCAGGAAGAAGCAAGCCAGGAACGGGAAGGGCACCCACAGACTGCGATTGCTGTGCATGCAACAGCCAATGAGTACCTCTTTTCTCCTCTGATAATTTACTACAAACTGGTATTAGCAGTCTACCCACGTGTCAGTCAGGATTTTATAAAACTTTTAATTTTGTGCAACAATAAAGATTTGAAAGAGACCACAACCAACACAGAAAATTAACTTAAATAGCTTCAGATTCAGGGTCCAATCCTGTAAATTGAATCATTCATCTAATTCCCCCTTTAACCAGCAAGAACAATCTTCTGGACTGATTATATCTGCCAAAGATGTATCTGTAGGAATTTTGGGTTGGGGGAACCCTAACCCAAGGGTTATTCTTTTAACTGAAGAGTACAGATCACACAGAAATTCATTTTTCATTATGATTCTGTGAAAATTTAGCATAGATTTTTTTTTCATTTCTTAAAAATATATTAACTAAATCTCTGCATGCCTAAGAATATTAACCTTGCCAATGCTTATAGCAATCTATAACTTCAGTTGTCTAATTGGAATCACTAGGTTATATTTGGATAAGGGTAAATGCTTATCAATATTTACAAAGCCAGGTATATGCATGCAAATGTGAAAACAAATGACTTTAAATTCTGTCTTGCACAAACTAATTTGAAAATCATCCATAACTTCTAGCATCAGCTCTTATAAAATTATTTCTAAAGGTAAAAAGAAATCTTACTTCTAAAAATAAAAAAATAAATGAAAGAAAACACAAGTGAGATTGAGAAACTACTGAATTATACTACAGTAAACATTTGCAGCACCAAACTGATTTAAAGCACACAGGCATAGTTTTGTAATGATCTTTTAAAAGCAGAAGCTGATTGTTAGTTTCTCAGTTCTAGCTGAATGGCTGCGACTATCACCAGTTCTCACTGAGCTCTGCTACAGTTGTAGATCATCAAGAATTTTTTCAAATTAACCCCAAGATTTCTTAAGTTGGGAACCCAAAATCTGAGATTGGCAAAAGAGGACAATTCTGACATTTTGACAGTAAGCCTTAAACAAGAAATTATTTTTTATCTATCTACTTCCACATCTTAGGAAGAAAAAGTAGTTCAACCTACAGATTTTTCTGCTGGTCCATCCCCAGGCTTTGATTTTGACCTTTCAAATACAGCTTTCAGAGACTCTTTTTCATGTCTCATTTTGCGTTTTAGGGCTTCCAGCTCCGAAGTATCTGCAGTTGTTTCTTTTTTGGGAGGCCGTGTGAATAAAGCTTTAAAGACATCTAATGCAGATTCAGCAGGGCTTGATTTTATTTCCTCAGAGGGAAATCGTGGTTCTGTTTTGCCAGAGGCTTTGTTCTCTGGAGCTTCATCACTGCCCTCAGTATCCCCAGATCCCTCACCAGAGTCCTCGGTTTTGTCTTCATTCTTAGAGACGTCTATGTTTAACAAGTGTGAGAGTTGTTCCAGGAAAGTAGGACTTGTTTTTGGTTCAGCTGATTTTTTTTTAGTGTTCAAACCTGACGTAATACAGGACTTTTTAACAGGCTGTCGTAATTTAAGCAGAGCTAAATCATTTTCCTTTGGTTTAATTTCTGTAACAGTTTCCCCATCCTCTGTGGTTAGTCCCTTTTTCCTTACACGTAGTCCACTAAAGAAAGCGGGCAGCTGGAAAGTCTTTTCAGCCAGTGCTGTTTTTTGGGGCGATATATTATCAGCTGAAGGTCTCTGTTCTTCAACTGGACGTTCTTGAGGGCATTCCGCTGTAGCAAGCAAGTGACTGTCCTGCTTATCCATTAATATTTTGTCTTTTCCACAGGAGTCATGTTCCAGAACACCATCCGGCTCTTTTGGGAGCTGCTCAGAAGTTGGTGGGTGTAACTCAATGTCATCTGTATGCACAGTGTCATCACTGCTGCTGCGCCCTTCTGATTCTGACTCTTCCTTATTTTGATTGTTATCGTCCAGAGCCCCAGCAGACAAAGCAGCATTATTTAGTCCAGAGTCGCGTGCATTGTTTTCATCAGTTTCTACATCCTTACTCTCCGCCTCTGATTCCGTGTCGCTTGTTGTATGAACCAAAGTACCTTGCACGAGGATAGCATCCTTGTCATCATTGTCAGATTCAGACAAAGAAGTCTGTACAGACCTTAAATCGTGAAGTGATTCTTTTTGTTCCACTAACTCCAGTTCCAGGTCAGCTTGCCTGCCAGACATTGGGTCAGCTTGGCCACTGGTACTATTCATGTCGCGCTGATTTTCTGAGTCGTCGTTACATTCATTATCATTCCTCTCGTGCCAGGTGTTAGCATCAGTATTTATCTTGGCGTGCAAAGGCTGAGATGCTTTAAGCACTGTTTCTTCTTTGGAAGCTGTAGATTCAAGTTCAGTTGTAAATCCAGAAAGGGTTTTCCCAGAACATGTAGTGAAAAGTTCAGATTTGCTTTCTGCTGTCTTCTCCAGGTCTGCAAGCTCACTACAATCAGGCACCCCGTTCCCTTCTTCCATGTTGTGTGAAGTACGGAATAGATTTCCTTCTGCAGTGTTACCAACTGCTAAACAAGTGTTTACTACGTGCATCCAGGCAGCAGACTGAGCTCACCACAGGCACTGCAACAGGCAGCGCTCTGTGGCCCTGCGAAGGCAGCCGGCCTCCTCCAGGTCACCCTGCCCCTCCTTCCGCTTCCAGCGCTGCAGCCGGCAGCCAGAGTGTCCCTCAGGTCTCCAAACTCCACTTCAGGAGCAGCAGAAAGACCCACCTTAAAAAAAATTCTCAGCAGCGTCTGTAACTTGTTGCTTTACACAAAGGGCTTTTTGTCGCAGCAAATACGCCAGTGCACTAATCTCGGTGTAAAATTCGACCAATGGTGGCTGCTGGGACTCCTGCAATCCTACTGGCTGCACACAACTTCCTACGTGCTCAAAAGTGCAGAGCAGCTACACAAACCAGCCTCCCGAACAGAACTGGGTGCATTTGTAGTTTGCTACTTCCTTATCCCAGTACACAAGCTGCGAGTGGCTTTCAGCAGAAAACTCCTGACGGATTCTTTTGCACAGTCTTCCCACTTTGATAAAGATCTTCTTTGGGAAATCCATAATCAACAAAAAAAGGTCAAATGGAAACCTGAAGTAAAGAATTTGAAGCTTCCAGTGTCACCGCCTGGAGTCTGTGCAGTCCCCCCAGTTTCCAGCCGGCCAGAGTGAACTCGGGTGAGTGCCCTTGGAGCCGAAGAAAGCAGGAAAAAAAAGAGGCTCTCTTCTGATTTGCTGCAGGTTTCATCTGGAATGCAGATTTCAGCCTCCAGGGCCATGAACGAAAACCAACAAGACTGGTTTCATATTACTACTGTCCTAACTCCGCACAGTACTGTGAACTGTGCACAGGTACTTATCAAAGGCTTTCACCACACCCAGTGACTAGGAGCTGTTTGGGTGGGCAGGGTACACAGCCAGCCCTCAGGAATCCCAAGTTAACTGTTTAGAAATCAGGCAGGCTGTCCATCTGCACTGCAGCCGAGCTTGGATTATTTCAAACCAGAGCAATCTCTGCTGACATGTTTTCTTGATAACTTTGATCTCTCTATATTGCCATGGTAATGTTATATGTGTGAGACTTGTTTTAGTTAATACTGGCAAAACCACTTGAAGAAGATATTTAAGACTGTATAATTCAGTATTGGCAGGGATACTATATTTTTTTTTCAAAATACACATATAAGAAAAGCACAAAATACTGTTAAGTACCCTTAAAATTCAGGAAGTCGGTACATCTAGGTCAAAAATCTTCACTTTTTTTTTTTTTTTTTTTTTTTT